GACCTAACCTTGCCCAACCGTTGCAGAGGGCTGATGTCTGGTCAATGGAAATGGAAGTGGAAGTGTTAGTTGCTCAGTCGTGTCCGACTCTTTGTGACCCCTAGTACTGTATAGTACGCCAGGCTCCTCTGTGCATGGAATTCTCCAGGCAAGAATATTGGAGTGAGTAGCCACTCCCCTCTCCAGGGGATCTTCCTAACCCAGGGATCAAACCCAGGTCTCCTGCATTGCCGGCATATTCTTTACCATCTGGGCCACCTGGTCAATGGAACTGAGTGCTATTACACATGTAAAGCAATAAAGCCTAATATAAGGTCTTTGTAAAAAAAATTACTGAATTTAAAACTCATTTTGAATGGCTTTGCTTCAATAGTCCAACTTGCAGGGGAACAGAACAGACACAGTATTTTGATGGAGACTCACTATTGTACAGCTCTTATAATCCACGCCGAAAGTCCTTTAGTGGTACAGCCCTCTCTGAACGAAGTCTCAAAAGGTTGAACTCATATTAAAAATCTCTAATATGAGAAGATTTACAGCAAGGTTACAATGTAATTAACCTGAGTTATCTTTCAAAACTCTTGCTGATATATATTCTGTCACTTCAGACTGTGCTTACACTCTGATTTTTTAAATTAGCAAAGAAGGAGGTTTTCATATTCATTCTAACTTACAGGATAAAGGAGTGCTTGCATAAAAAGAGTTGGCCAACACTTTCTATTATTTTCTAATATTATTCTTATAACCATATTCTTACAGCTATTTTTTTAAATGGCTACTCTGTATGGCAAAACCTTACTCTGTCCACTGCAGAAAAGTTTGTGCTTTTTATTTAACGATCATGGTGATTCCCTTCATTTCTTTGGAGGGGGGGAAAAAAGTAAAAGCAGAGCTATTATTCTGTGTTTATAACAAGTCTATCACCACAGCAACGACTGTGATGTCACAAACCCTACACCAAGGGCCAGATTCTGTCTCCGAGGAGGGAAGGGCAGCTTAGCCTCGGAAATCGGTTGAAATTGGATGGAAACAAGCAGCCAAAGCGAGGTCAAAGCTTGTGGTAATCACCAAGGCATGAGGAGTTCCCCTTCTCGGAAGAAAAGGGGTGCAGGAACAGAAAAGCAGTCCCCGAGGCCCAGGAATAAGCTACCCCCACACTTCTGTCTGCAGCTGTGCAAAAGCAGAGTGGAAATCCAAGCGAGTGTGGTATCACCGTGTTCCCGATCACGAGAATTCCACTGGGCCCACTGGCTGCCAAACGTGGACGAGATCCAGTGGTGAGCCTGCCTGAGCACATGAAACTCTCTGGAACTAGTGCCTGACCAGATGTAGCCTTCTGGTACCTCGGAGTAGAAGCAACTTGCCTCATGATGGCAAGACTTTAAAACCAAGCTGGGGTCTTACTACTATTACTAGGTCACCCAGGTTCACAGAACCACAGAAGCTTAGAGCTAGAGAACTTATCAAGTCTCCCAAAAGATGTGGGCTTGAAAAAAATAACCTTCTGCAGAAACAAGTTGTGTCTCCATCATTAAGGAATCTGAAGTAGCATATTAATAAGTATTCCTATTCTGATACAGTCTAGGGAAATTCTATATAAATATGCTGAAATGGCAGCTTTATATTAAAAAGAATATTGGATTAGGAATCAGAAGACTTTAGTACTAGTCTTGATTCAAGTACTTGGAAGCCACCTGACCTTGAGAAAGCCATTTAACCATCTGAGCTTTAGTTCCTAACTTAATGATATCTCAAATGCTATTTCCCAGGGTTACTATTAAGATAAAGTAAATAAAATAATAAATTTGAATGAGTTTCATAACTACAGGATTTAATATGAACATAAGGTATTGTGAGCATTTTCACATAGCTAGTTTATAGTATAACAGGAATAATTTGAATGCTAATAGTTATTTTCTTTCCAGGAATCCAGAGTATACATACAGTGCTCATCTTCCCTATCCTGAGAGGTGGATACTTGCATGATACAGTCAACTCTAAATTATTCAGGGCCTGATTATCAAGGGGCCACTTTCTTTCAGCCATTGTATGATTAGTTTCCCTAAGAAATGCCACATCAACCTATATATGGCTAGAAAATTGACAGTGAGTGTCCCTCAACTTATCTTGAATAACAACTCTGGTAAAAGTTTTAGCAAAAGGAAGAACTGAAATGATTAACTAGATAGGAGTTTTTGGATACTTGGTGAACTTTACATTTATCTATGGATAAGTACTCAAACCACTGTCACAAAGGCTATGGTCATGGTTAAAAAGGTTGAGATTAACTCAAACAAGGTCCTCGCGTTTTCTCAGTGAACAGCAAAGTAGCCTGTACTGTCTTACATATGTGCAATAGGAATTTGAATATGTCATTCATTCATTTATTCAACAGACCCTGGTGGACCACTATTATGTGACAAGAGCTCACCACATTCCCTAAAAACCCTGCTGTTTTCCTACCCTGTCACATCCCTTCCTCGTGATGTAACAGAGAGCACTCTGACAAAGCTCATAGCCTGACTCTTAGAAACTCTATTCACCTTCCTGTTATATGAGACTTTTACCAATCTTACCCTAATGCAAGTGTCAGCAAGCTATTTTCCCTGAGCAAACCCTGCTTGCTGCTCTTTTTTGTAAATAAAGTTTTATTAGAACACAACCAGGCCCATTCGTTTATGGCCTGTTTATCTATGGCTGGTTTTCTGCTGCCACAGCAGAGTTCAGTAGCTGTGATGGGACAGTATAGCTCCAAAGCCTTAAATACTATATGGCCGTTGACAAAGCTTTCCAACCCCTGCACTAAATAACATAAGTCAAAATTCATCTCTCCTGTAAGTTTCTGCTTAGGGAATAATAGAGTAAGCTCCTTGAAAGCAGAGAACTTTGTGTACCTTTGTCTTGTCATATGGAACCCTGGAGTAGGATTGGGTCAAGATTTAGAGCAGATACAGAAAATTAAACATGTCCTCTCCTATATTCTGTTTTCAACAGATGGGTGTCCTAGAATTCCATGGAAGACAGCACAAAACCACTGGTGTTCAGTTACTCTGGCTTTTAATTCCTCAGAGTTTTTACATCTAAGACTTCCAAGGCTCAATTTTTGGCTTCTATCCTTTGCATATTTATTTCCTGATCTGATGTGGAATTAGAGTTAAATAGGAGCTGTGTGCTTGAGTTCCACGTGGCTGGCTCAGCAGGAAACTCCAGGGCAGGTTTTTTGGCATGCCAAACTCATGTTAGCCTCAGCTATGCTAATTTCTAGAGCTGTTTGCTTTGCTCAAATAAACCTTAGAGGGGAATTTGCATTTCGATGCACACCTTTTTATGCACAAATTATGTGCATGATAACTCTAGGGCACAATAAGGACTGAAAAAAAAAAGATGACAAAGAGGCATGGTATGTACTGAATGGTTTCCATGTGGCAAGCACCATGCTGGTGCTTTACATACATTTTCTCATCTCAGGGCCACAACTATCTCAGGTGGTGAAACTGCGACCCCCATTTTATATATGTGGAAATCACATAACTTCTCTACACTCACAGACCCGGTAAATGACAAAGTCTAGACTTCAACCCAATCTATCTGAACCTGAAGCCTGTGTTCTTTTCACTGAGTCACGCTGTTTTACTGGTATCCTCAACATCACCACGCACTGAAGCTACTGACATACATCAAAACAAAGAATCCTACATTTGCAAAATTAGCCAATTTTCTCTCCAGCTGTCCTATGCAAAATATATCTTTGACCCTTTAGGAGATAAATCTGGGTTCCTCTGCACCATAAAACAGCCAACCAAAGAATAACAGTGGCATTACAAAGACAAACATTACATAAAACAAAAATTATGTTAGTATTCAGTAGACAAACACAATCACAAGTGATTTGGATATGTAAATGGATTTTCGTGACATATGTGAGGACCTCAGTATGAAAGGACACTTTTGCTGCTAAAATGTAATAGGTCAAGGAAGAGAATGTGCCCATACCATGAAGGAGAATGTTAGTAACACTTAGAAGATGGTATAAATATATCTATAATGTAAGCCCAGTAATTTATATTTTACAAACATGTTCACCATTTATGGAAACATAACCAAACAACTATCTTCTCCCCCCGCAAAAAAAAAAAAAAAAATACAAGCATTACCTTTACTGAGTTATGGTAAGTACTGCTATCAAAATTCATTGTTTATCATTGCTTAATTCAACATACAGAAAAATAACCAGCACAGCAATTAAGCATTCTAGCAAAACTCTAACATTTTACAACAAGCCAGACACAATATTACTGAACTTCTTTCTCCATGTGGAACATAACTGTAACCTAACTTGCAATATAGCATCATGCTCAGCCTATAGCCATCTAGCTTAATACACTGCCATCTAATTTTCTGGAAATAGACAAGAACTGATTACATTTTCATCCAAGTAAAACCTGAATCTCCATTTTTCAAAAAGCTCTTAAAGAAAGCTTTCCAGGAATTAGAAACAACTCTGTACGAGATGAGTAACCTGGGTTGTTTCTTAAGAAGACTTAGAATAAAGGCACACTGGGGAACAAGCCTGCCACACACGCTTTATAAATTGCCCCTTCCTTTGGGAAACGCACCAGGGAGACATGGTCCTCACTGCACCACACCAAAGAGCTCAACCTTTTTTTCTTGTTAACCAATCAGTATATGTTTTTTTTTTTAATTAATTTATCCTTTTTAATTTTAAATAGATTTCAGAGAAGGAAAATAACTTTTTTTTGTAGCCAGGGGTAGGAAAATGTATTGTCAGTTGAAGGTCAACAGCCTAAGCAGTAGTAGATTGTGGGTATCTGCTTAATAAACTAACACTCTTCAAATGATACATGCACTCATAGTTCTCGGCTGCAATGTCCCTAAAACAGTCTTTCCCAAAATAAACTTAAGCATTTAATAATTATCATAGGGCAGTTTAAACAATTTTCTGTAAATCATTATCACTGGAAACCCCAGGAGTGACTTACCTGCCGGCGGCTTTATGAAAGGTGGCGGAATTAAAGGTACAATAATGGGCACATTGCCATGATCCTTCGACCCTGCAGGTGAGTCACTGAGTCCATTTCCTGTGGCAAGCCCTGAATAGCCTGTGCTTATATTGTATGGTGAAATAACACTGTCCTCAGGTAATTTGGGTTTTGGCAAAGAATTTTCTGTAAAAGAAAAAAAAAAATCATTCAATATGATGGAAAGACTTACTTTCCTTACAACCACATTTTTTCAAGTAAAATGGCTATGGAATAAAATTTTTTTTCTTGCCAATCTTTAAACACTTTACCAGAACTTAATCCTGAACCTTTCTCAGCTGTGTTATGGTAAATTTCTTATGGGCTCCTTTATCATTTGCTCCGCCATGATAGCTAATATCTCTACTGTATCGTAGTGATGAATTTTAGCACTGTAAAAGCCCATAGAAAATTGAGAGGCAATTAACCTTTTACATGTACAAAGTGATATATGGCAGGCATCACTCTCTGGCTACCAAAGGAGAAGCTTAAAAAGTGCCCCCATACCATGGTAACCAGGTCCTGATATATTATAAAGTTGAGTGGTAATATAATCAAAAGAACCAATGAGAAAGAAGCTGATGATTAGGAAAAAAGAACACAAACTGTTATTTCACAGGGTAGACTCATTAAATTAACCCATTAATAGCCATTAAAAATTAACAAAAATGGGGCTTCCCTGTGACTCAGTGGTAAAGAATTTGCCTGCCAATGCAGGAGACACGGGTCCCATCCATGGTCCAGAAAGATCCCACATGCCTTGGAGCAGCTAAACCCGTGCGCCACAATTATTGAGCCTGTACTCTAGAGCCCAGGAACCACAACTATTGAGCCCACGTATTGGCCGCAACTTGAGAAAAGCCCACACACAGCAACGAAGATACAGCACAGTCAAAAATAAATAAATGAAATAATTTTTACAAATTAACAAAAATGATCACAAAGAAAACTTATAATTATATGAACTTTGTGAATCTTATCCTCACATATGAACCATTAAAAAAATAAATAAAACACTCAACCATGGAAAACAACTTTTTCCCTTCAGTAGCATATCATGGCATTCTCTCCATGTTCCCCAGAGGCAAAGATTATTACCAAGACCAAGTATTAAATGAGCTATTAGCTTACAGAATATAAACTCATGACTTGCATTTTTCATTTACAGTGAAATTGATGATATTATCTCTGTAACATGATATGGAAAATTTCATAGCAAGCTTAACATAAAATTTGTCAGGTATGTTCAATTCCACATGCCCACAGGACAGCTCATTTACATTTCGTTGCTTGGCATATAAGAAGGAAAAGCACTATCTTAGAGATTGGAAATAAAGTGCATGAACAGGTAGTGTATGCCAAAAGATTTTGCATGCAATGAAAATACAGATCAAATTGCCAATGATATCACACAATTAGTTTAGCCCACATTTTATTTAAGTTCCCCAAATGAATAGCTTCTTCACATACTCCTCTTCTTTTCTTTGATGAACAAATCTTCAACCAATATTTAGGTTCATAAATTCAGTATGCAGAGCAACACCCACCAAGGGTTCTAGGCTTCCCTCATGGGGTATCTGGCATTGCTACCCACCAGAAGAATTAGTGTTAAGTCAACTCTGCCAAGCCTCTAATTTCTACTCTCTGGCCAGGCTTCGATGATAATCCCTAAAGAATAATATAGGATCCAATCATCTACTACTCTCTTACTTTTCTTCTTACCCTATCCAAGGCTGTGGGGATAAGGTGAAAACTTCAAACAGAAAATAGAGGTAGGGCTCTCCTTTAGAATTCTCACCTAAAACTGGGGGGCAAGAAGAGAAATTACCAAATTAACCATGATTGTCTCTTGCAGTCTGAAACTTTATACCTAACATTTCACTTAACAGAAAGCACCAGCCCTTAACAATTGATATATCAAAGGGTTTAGGAGAGTAGAAGTTAGCAAACACTGTCCCTTTCTCTACATTTGTGAGCAGGACCACAGAGCTTAGGATCCCTAGCCCTGTCTAGCTAGCCCTCCCATTGCTGGAAGGAGATTAAGCTGTGTCTGTTTTTGTTTTATGTTGTGCTCTTATATTCTGCTTATGGGAAAGCACTCCTGGGGATGCACATTTAAATCAACTATTGGCATAATCAACAAAATGAGTCCCAGAGCAACTCAATTCTGGCAGGTTGAGATAGTTAATCCTTGTTTGCATGAACAAAGGGACATTAAATGTCATTACCTTTGAGAACAGAAATGTGCTGCCGGCTCTCTCCATCTGTAGGATAGCTCCTGAATTCAATATCTTCACCATCTTTCAATTCAACCTTATCATAGCCATACCAGCCAAGGAGTTCATTCATGGTGTTTTCTGCAAAGTTCTGAAAGAAAAGCATAGGCTACTTATGTATATAATTAATAACTATTTGAAAAAGAATGCATACATTGAATTCTATTAGCACCACCCCTTATTCTGCCAGCCTTGCCCTTCCTTCCTTAGAGTCATGTTCATTTTTCAAATCACGTTTGAAAACTGTCATGCATTTAAATCTCAGGATGACGCATCCAATTATGACAGGCCTTCAGACATTTGCAATTTAAAGATAATAAGAAAAAAGGCATTTGTCAGTTTTGCTTAAGAATAGGAAGTCATATTTTGGCATATCCTTCTGCAAAGTCTGTATCTTGAACTAATACAAAAATATTGAAAGGTAAAAGCACGAAAACAGCTAAGAAGAGATTTCTAAACTGAAAACAATCGAGCATTTTGTGGCTCAGGTTAATTTAAATTAGAATTGCTTTCTAACTCAGGTGTTGTTTCTTAACATGACTCTGATCTCAGATAAAGCAAAATCTCAGCAAAGAAATAATTCCTCAACGGTCAACCACTACCATCCAGGAAGCTAAATAGGCTACAAGGGTTTCCCTTTTTAATTTTACCTTTCGTAACAGTAGTCTTTAAACACCAAAGCATAATTTCCTTTACGAATTCCATAAGTGATAGATTCTTTCCCCATGAAATCAAAGGTCACTATGATTGTCTTCTGACAAATAACGTAAAAGCACCAAATAACTTTAAGGTTACTAATCAGCTCAGATTTTGGATAACACATGAAAACACTTTATTAACTATAAATCAATATACAATCAGCCCTCCGTATCTGCAGGTTCCATACCCATAGATTCAAGTTACCCCCGAGGAAAATATTTAGGAAAAAATTTTCAGAAACTTCCAAAAAGCAAAACTTGACTTTGTCATGCAGGCAACTATTTACATAGCACTTACATTGTACTTACAACTCATTACTTAGCATTTACATTATATTAGGTATTATAAATAATCTAGAGGTGAGTTAAAGTATATGGCAGGGGTGTGCATAGGTTATATGAAAATGCTACACCATTTCACACAAGGGACTTGAGTACTGAAGAATCTGGTATTCCAGTGTGGAGGTAGAATGCCCTGAAACAAATCCCCTGTGGATTTGGAGGGACAACTCTGTAAATGTAAGGTATTATTGTTGTTAGTACAGATGTCAAGCTGTGGTAATAATGGGTAAATAATAGTTGAACAAATTTAAAGCTTATACTACCAGGTGACTATTTTTAATGAACTTAACCACTGCTAGGTCTTAATGCTTGTGTGTGCCTCAAAGTATCTCTATCTGAGAAAGACAGAGGAGAGAAGGGATTACCCGGGGCTGAGGGGTGGCAGAAATGAGGAGACTGGTCAAAGGGTGTAGTACAGAACGGTGTATACTATAGTGATTGTAGCTAAGAACACTATCATACACTTGAATGTTGCTAAGAGAGTTGATTCTACATCTTTTCACTGTAAAAAAGGTAACTATGTTACAGGATAGAGGTGCTACCTAATACTGTGGTTGTAGTCACTTTACAATATATAAATGTATCAAACCAACACATTGTACACCTTAAACTTATACAATGTTTCCTGTCAATTATATCTCAATAAACTGGAAAAATTAATAGAAGGAAGAATCCTATACCATAGAGTAAGAGCTTAATAAACGTTTGCTGAATGATTTTTTTTCAGTTTAGTTCAGTTCAGTCGCTCAGTCGTGTCCGACTCTTTGCGACCCCATGAACTGCAGCACGCCTGGCCTCCCCGTCCATCACCAACTCCCGGAGTCCACCCAAACCCATGTCCATTGAGTCGGTGATGCCATCCAACCATCTCATCCTCTGTCATCCCCTTCTCCTCCTGCCCTCAATCTTTCCCAGAATCAGGGTCTTTTCCAATGAGTCAGCTCTTCGCATCAGGTGGCCAAAGTATTGGAGTTTCAGCTTCAACATCAGTCCTTCCAATGAACACCCAGGACTGATCTCCTTTAGGATGGACTGGGTGGATCTCCTTGCCGTCCAAGGGACTCTCAAGAGTCTTCTCCAACACCACAGTTCAAAAGCATCAATTCTTCAGTGCTCAGCTTTCCTAATAGTCCAACTCTCACACCCATACATGATCAATGGAAAAACCATAGCCTTGACTGCTGCTGTTGCTAAATCATGTCAGTCATGTACGACTCTGTGCCACCCCATAGACGGCAGCCCACCAGGCTCCCCCATCCCTGGGATTCTCCAGGCAAGAACACTGGAGTGGGTTGCCATTTCCTTCTCCAATGCATGAAAGTGAAAAGTGAAAATGAAGTCACTCAGTCGCGTCCAACTCTTTGCGACCCCATGGACCACAGCCCACCAGGCTCCTCCATCCATGGGATTTTCCAGGCAAGAGTACTGGAGTGGGGTGCCATTGCCTTCTCCGAAAGCCTTGACTAGATGGACCTTAATTTTTTTAAGGCATCTAAATTTTTTAAGGCATCTTTATCTGGCAAGACAGCCTGAGTGCCCTAGATGGAGTTAGAAAAACTATATATTTTAACCTTCTCTGTGACTCAAAGAATCTTTTCTCATTCTCCCTAGAAGTTGTCATTTCTGAATTACACTGGGATGTATAATTTATACCTGAAACAAAGCACCCAGGCTCAACCAGCATGTGCACAGCCTCAACACGCAAGTTCCATGTTCTTTTGAATTTCACTTTAGATTTCAGCAGGGTTGCATAAAAAAGAAAGGATATTACACCACTCCACAAAAACAAACCTGGCATTTCAAACCACCTACATGATGCTAGACTTTTTTTCTTTTTGCTTTAGTACCCACTTGAGCTCAGAGCTCCAAATGGGTCAATCTGTGATGGTATAATGCACAAGCAATTTTTTAAAAATCTAGACAGATTGATTCAGTGCTACCATCCACAAGGCCAACAGTCAGCCATATCAAGCTTTAGTGAGGCATTTATTCTCTCTGATGGCTGGTCATGTCCACATTAAATAGACATTCCTTTCATGAATGTGCAAAGATGATATGATCGATATGTATAATAAGCTCAGCAACTTCTGTAATACCACTGAGGAGGATTCAGCTAAACACTGCACTACTCAATCAAAAGACATTCCTAATTGAATGAGGTGTCACTCTTCCCTAGCTCTCGATTTCTTTCACTGAGCTGAGTGCCTGACTGGAGAATGACAGTCCTAGGCACACAAATAGAGGTCTTCCATCAGGGGTCTGGCAGCAGAAACCTCAAGGATAACGATTATACCTTGCATTAAAAAACAAACCGACAACAAAAACCCCACAATTCCCAACAGTGTTAAAAGCCAAGTTCAAGCCACCCTACTGGTAATGTATACTATCTGCCTGAATCTCTAAGAGAAATGAGCCAAAAAGATAACTGCTGGCCACCATATCTAATTTTCTAGGCCATTTGTATCCTGGGCGCCTCTCGCTGGTTGTGTCTAATCTCTGAAGTGACACAAAAGCTACAGATGCATCATTCATGGAGCAACCTCCCAGTCAAGGATATAGATTTGTTTGTTTCAGTTCAGCTGCAAACCCATTCAGACTTTCAGAACCAAGGATGGGATCCAGAAGTTTCAAACATTTGGGTAAAAACTGAAATTGCAACTGGATTATTGATACCAAATTTGTATTATTTGGGCACCTTAACTGCATCATTCAGTTTATGGTTTGTGCTGAAAACTCAGAGGCCTCATGGAACAATCAATATGAATATGATCTATTTCATGATTTTTGAGTTAACTATAAATGTCAGTGAAAATAAACTCTAAGCATTTCCTTTCTTACCACTGAAAATAAAAAGAAACACCTTAATGTTTAGATATATGATTGCAAAAGCAGAAAATAAAAGGTTTATAAAGGTTTATATTTGAGCCACAAATCTCAAACCTTTCATAAAAAAGGAACAAGATAAAAGAGAAAACAAACACCAAAGTTTCTTGTAGTATAACTACAAGAAATAGGTATTATCTCTGTCTTATATACTATACTATACTATACTAAGAAACTGAAGATCCCCAAGGAATAAATAATTTTTAATTTGATTAAGAATTAAAACTTAGAATTTGATGCTAGACATCATATGGGCTTGTTATGGTGCCAAACCAAAGGAAATGAAATGGATTTTTGCAGTAACCATCCAAGAAATATAACATATTCTAAGAGAAGTGAATTTAATGTTTATGGTCCATAAGGGTTTTCAAGTTTTTCTACCAGAAACTTGAGGTGGTAAGAGTTAAGTGCAGAGAAATTTTTGAGGTAAGGACGTTCAATAAAAGGTCAAGCTACTGTACGGACAGAAATTGTAAAGTTGGTTTCCCCCAAAATCTTCACCCAGAATTTCTCATGGAGACTTACAGCAGGAAACATTAGTACAGTCTCTTAAAGTCCCCTCAGCGCTAAGACTGTGTGAAATCAAAGAACTTCTACTTACACATGAAATCAAATACATTTCACAAAGAAATATCATAATTACAGTGATCACACATCATAAATTTCACTGAACAGCCACTATCTCAAATATTTTATCATTGTTCCCACACACCATCAAAAGTGCCAGAATTTCAATATTCTGGCACCCAAAACACATTTTGCAGACTGCCTCTCGCCCTTGGAAGTGACACAAAAATCCTCTCTCATACCATGTGGTCCAATTTGGGTTTGGAAAATAGGTCACTATAATTACAATGATAATGTCTAACACTCTTATAGCACTTGACAGTGTTTCCACATCCTTTAACTCTCTTGTTCCTTTCAACAACCCTGCGAGTTAGGTGTTTGGTTTCCACAGTAAACTTTTGGTGAACCTCTGTGACATCCTCATTTTACAACAGAAAATTGGAACATACAGAAGGTAAATGGCAGGCATGAGAGATCACCTAGTAAAGTCAGAACAAAAATACAGATCTTCTGATTCTTATACCAGGACTCTTTCTACTATAAATTCTGTTCAGTCTAATGTGTCAGCAACTCCAAAATAACTACTTCCGTGGTCCAACAA